ACCACTACCACCACCACTACCACTAGCACTACCACGACCCCGACTACTGTTCTGCAATGGCCAGTCCCGGACATGAGTGGAGAGTTTGCAACGTTTAAAGTTTAGGAGCATTTGCAGGACGACGGCCGGCACCTCCGTGGTGGCCGCTTGTGGCAGCTGCACCTTTTGCACGCCTGTGCAGCCGTCAGTTAGCAGGGCATGCAGCGGTAGCCAGCACCGAGTCGGCACTTGGGTGAAACTTGCAATTGGTAGTTTGCGGATGTCTTGCTGAGCTGCTACTTGCTAGTCCTTGACGTCGCGTCGAAATGCAACTAAACGCCTCTCAGATACGTGCTGCCGAAGGATCATGTAGACGTTGTTTGGTGACTTGCTGCATCATTGCATAGCATGGATGCTGAACATGATGCTGTAACTGCACCAACACCATCCCGATGCAAGGTTCATGAACTCGAGTATAGTTTGCCTGCTGGTAGCATGGAAGTCTCTATTAGTGAATTCGTGTGTGTGCATCATGGCATGGCAGGACAGCTGTTCTTAAAGTCCGTGCCGATGATAAGCCCACCTCATTTCATAGGACATCTTAGGATCTTCATGCCGTTCGAAGTGTGCCGAATGCTTACTGCCAACAGAATAAAGAGGGAACGAGTGATTTTCGATTCGCTGCTGGAGAGCTCTTTTGCTTCGGGGGTTCCTTCTACTGTCCTCAGCATATTGCCAGATGATGATAGTGATGATGATGAATACCAAGCTACCACCAGTGTGATGTAAGGGTCATCGTTGTGATGATTATGATGGCCCGAGAGCGCCAGCCACTGCTGCAGCTTTTCAAACTCATCCGCACAATCTTCTTACAGGACGAGACAGCGAACCCTCTCTTCTGAGAAGGTGATATCAAGCTAGGAAGACAGCTAGGTAAGCAGGCTTTGGGGTCTTTTGGACCATATATAGCTTGCGATGCATTAACAGAGCCAGTCGCTGAGGTAGGCCACGGCGAGCAGCACAGAAAGCCCAGGCGCCAAGCCTCTGGGCACAGCGTCAGAAATCACAAGTTGAGGGTTCAGTGTTTCTTGTGTCCACATTCAGCACAGCAGCATTGCATGTTTGACAAGACATGTAGCCTGGAGAGGGAGGGAGAAGGGAAATCACAATGTACATTTCTGTGGCTTGACATGAAGTGGTGGCTTATCAGTTTGGAATGCTGCTCATTCAGTACACCTAGTCCACGACATGAAGCCCGAATTGTCGGACTGATCGCGTCCCTTCTCCCAGCAGAAGGCCACGAACCTGCGAGCCGACTTCGAGCGCACCGCGCCGAACTGGTCAGAGGGCACATCGCATCTTGAGGAGCAGCGAAGAAGCCTGGACGATTACTAGCACTAGTCCGCAGGGCTCTTTTAAATTATAGTTGCATGGCATATTATACCCCAGAACCCTGTTCGCCCGCATCACCCCAAAACCGCACTTCAGCCTTGAAGGATTATTAAGGGCTTAGGGCCTCTATAGAGTTAGTTTAGGGCTTGGGGTTTGACTTGACTTGAGTCTGGGCGCAGTACGAAGTTTGAGGAAGTACGAAAATACAGTATCTCGGCTTGGATTGTCTCTTGGACTTCACCTGTGATCATTCTGGCTTTCATGACATGTTGATGCTCTGCAGCTGGCGGTTGCTTCAATCTTTCTCAAATCACTGGCTCCTGACAGTCGCCACCCCTGCAAACACTTAGCGTTGTGAGAGCGTAAGACCCAGACCCCTGAACCTGAACCCTAAACCCTAACTCGTGAGTGTCGGAACCCCCCACACCCCAAACCACAAGCCCTGAAGCCGAAGCCGTAGAAAGTCTCAAATGTGGGTGGGGAGAGCAGGGTTGGAGATCTCCAGTCGGCTACAGCGGCGTACGACAACGCGGTATTCACAAAGGATGCGATTTCTTGAATTCCAGAGATCAGAGCACGGCACCCTGCTAGAGGAGCATGTCTCGTAATGTTCTTGGTAGGCTCACCTGTGCTTAATCATGTTGCAATCTGCCTCCTGAACCTTACTCAGCTCATGACAGACAGTTTGGCCTCTGCACACATATTGAAGCATCCTGAAAGCTGTCATCTCCTGCTGTGAGTTAGAGACCCTCTACACTGCTGTTGATGATATAAATCCTGCATGACCTTAAGGATCCTAGACTATGGGAATTACGGTATGGGTAATGCAGGATATATATCCTAAACCGTATCAAGCCCTAAGCCGGAGACCTGGACGTCGCAAGTCTAGTTTGCAAATGGAGGTTTAGGGTTTAGGGTTTAGGTTTGGCATACGGCAGTTCCTGGCGACCGAAGCCTGCTGAAAAAACGTTTGGCACATGGAGCTTGGCAGAAGTGATTCAGGGCTTAGTGCATTGAAGTCCCTGCTCAAAACTAGGGCTTAGGTCTAAAAAGCAACTTAAGTAGGGTTCTACATCGGATGCCGAAATGTGACGACGGCGACAAAAAGCAGGATGACCTGCTCCGGAAGCCTTGGTCGTGCCTTGGACTTCGGCGAAAGATGCGTTTTTCTCTTATGCTATATGTAGGGTTTGAGAATGTAGATGTGTGTGCCCAGATTCGGGTAGATGGGTTCAAGAAGAAGGGGTTACAGCTTTGTTGCGAGACTTTCTATATATCGTGTGCTATGGTGCTTCAACGCAGGGTGAGTTCCCGATACTAGGGGCAAGACTCGTGAGTGGCATGAACAACATGAGAAGCATTTCCACCATCAGCTAACTCAAACGCCAATGCACCAAAGTGACATAGTGTTGCTACGCTGGTTGGAACACACCAGCACAAGAAGTCCTCGAGGCGTTCCCAAACTGCAAGCAGACCAGTCGGAGCGGAGTCGATACGAAGAGTCCTTGGATACGTCCCTAGACCCAAAACCCGAAACCCCCGATCCTTTGTGTTCCGACGTTAAAGTCCACAACTAAGCATCTGTTGAGAACGATGGATGTCGGAGAGCAAGCTTGACAATCCGCGATTAGCAGGTTTTACTTATGGGCATGAGTGTTGTGAGCAGGCTTGCGTGATGTACTTGTTTCCCTCAGCAGACCCACGAACCACATGCCTCGCCTGGATTGTCCGAGGGTGAGCGCCGAAACCCCCAAATCGCAAACCCGCAGCCAAGCGGGTGGGAAAAACTTGCAAACCCTACGTCCCTATGTCTCTCAAGCTTCTAAGGTCCTCCGAGCTTCTTCAGTTCCCGAGGCGGGGCCGGCAGGGCTCGGCCGGCCTGGATCCCAAGGCGAGGGCCCTCTAAGTTTGGGATTATGGCTTTGTACTTGGCTTTGTTCTGGGAGCCAGAAGGACCTGTCTCAAAAAGGGTTATGGCGTCAGGGTTTTCAGTTTTCGGGTTGAGGGCAAAGACCCCTGCTGCAAGAAAGGCACTAGTGAGCAACGTCGTGTTGTTTGTGGAAGTTAAGCTGCGTGCCACGCACTCCCACAAGTATTCATTCTGTGCAAGTAGGCAGATAATGTACTTCCAGGACTGATTGCTGTGCCCTGGATCTCGCTGCCGCCCTGTCAAAAATGTCCGGGTTGGCAGGCTCCCGGCCTGCCCCTTAATTACCGTCGAGCAACGAAATCCGTCGTGATTGTGGGCGGGCCCTGTAAGCCATACCTGGGACATGCATTTCAGCACCACCTTCAGATAACTTCTTCCATGGTTGTGATTCTATAACGAGAATCGAGAGTGTGTTTGGAGGAGGTTCTCGGCCCGCAGAGGGACCCTAAAGACAAGGAGCCTTGAGACTGAAGGACTTAAAAAAGGACCCATGTAAAGACTTCCAGCCTTTTGTTGGCGGCATGCTGACGTTGCAGGTTTGTGTGGGTGATTTGTGCCCGGAACACCGTCTGCGAGTCTGGGCGTATCTGCGCTGCTTGACATCATAATTGGCATGCACGAGGCTTTCTGAAGCCTCCTTAAAGAAAATCCAGGTTCAACCTTCAAAAGATGTTGCAGCCTTAGAGCTTTCTGTCTGCGGTCAGTGGAGCTTGGCCTTTGGTGGTTTGGACCCTAGTTGGTGTTCGTTTCTCATGTAGCCCACTGACCCCCAGCAACCTTCCTGACAACTCTTGCCATAAGGGTACTGTGCCTAGCAGCCTAAAGACCTATGGGACAGTATCCCTTCTCGTTTGTCACTGGGGGCTGGCTCGACTCGAGACCCCTGAACCATGAACCTTGCCTCAAGATCCGAAAGAGTGCCATGACCGAGTAGTTGTGTTCCTGAACTAGAAAGGGGGACTTTGACGCAAGGGAAGGGCATGTTGCCTAGTTAGGGTGTACCGTGCAAGCGCAGCATGACTGGTGCGTGGGCTGTCCCTTGCATTTGTAGTTCCACCAAGCCGGCTCAAGGCGCTTAAGTTGTCCGAGTCGCTATAAGGAGACTTAAACCCCTAATAATAATAACAATAATAATATACTAATACTACAGTAATAATAATAGTAATAATAATAAATGATATGCTAGACTTCGGTAGCTGGCTCTCTCCAGGCCAGCTCAACCCGCACGAACCGTCTTTGGCTGCGGCTGGGCTAAACAACCTTGACCTATAGGGTTTACGGTTTCGGCTGGGACCTGGGGCATTTTTGGAATTCGGGCTTTCAATGTAGAAAGTTCGGGACAGCCAGCAGTGGCCTGTTAAACACCTAGAGATGTCAGTTGAGTGTACCAGTCGGGCAAAGCTAGACATGTCAGTTAAATGCACAAGTAGGACAAACCGGGGCCGATTGCCCATCCTCTTTGTTTCAGGGCCTTTGGCCCTTCTGCCTCTATCTCATCAGATGGCGTTTCGGGGTTGAGCGCCCTTCGTCAAGTCTGCATGATGTGTTCGGCTGGTAATATCAGGAACTGGATGCCACGCCATGCACGCACGCGCACACACAGAGGGAATGAATAAACATGATTTACACCTAATCTACATGAATGATAGCATACACACATGCACACCACGCCCGTACATACATACATACATACATACATACATACATACATACATACATACATACATCTTTCCATCCTTCCATCCATACATACATCCTTTCTTCCATACATCCATACATCCACACATACATAATGGTACGCAGATGCACGCTGAAGCCCCTTACTGCCTATGTCCTACGTAATCTCAAGCTCTCCCTGAGGTTCACGGACCCTACCTAAACCCTAAACCCTGTTTCAAGGAGACTGCTATCGATGAACTTCGCCTGGATCGTCCGAGTTGTGAGAGTCTCAACCCGCTGCCGTAAGAATCCCGAAGCTTCCCGTCCGTTTTTCGAGGCGATTTTCGCAGCCATGGATGCAGTGCCTGGGAAGCAAAAGCTGCGGGTGAAGGAGCTCTTCGAAAGCTGCGCCTGGACTGACGGAATAGAATTAACATAATATATGAAAGCATAGCAGACTATAACAGAATTTTCTTTTTACAGTGTAATATATGATAACCTATTGTAGTATCTCATAATATAATGGCAGGTAGTGCCGCTGACATGGCCTCATCACATGCAGACTGACTCCTTGCACGCAACGCAGGTGAACGGTCTTGCGTCTTGGGGAGACCCTGTGTGGTGAACATGATAGCAGAGTCGGCAAGCCCTGGAAGGTGACGTCGTGTCGGCCATCGTTCAGTGGTGGCTGCGTCGGGACCGCCGTGATGGACGGAGGGTGGGCACACGGCAGCCGGAGCGCGGCTTCACCAAAATGGTGTAGGAGTGTGTTTCCACCACTGGAAGTTCGCAGATTGCTCTCCACGAGGGTAGTGCTCATCTATCCTGAACAGTCAACTGAATTTCGAGCTCGGTCCGATGGTCAGATCGCATCTCTTGAGAGATGTGTTTGCACAAGTGGAAATGATACATTCCAAGACGAGGCTCCCTAAGGAGAGTTAGAGCTTGGGGGGTATAGAACTTGTGTAGAACCCTTGTAGGACCTTTGTTCGAAGGCTAAAGACAGACACGGCTAAGTTCTTGTTGCATAGCCCTTTAAAGTTGCTTTGGGAGTGCTCACTATCAGGATCCTTATTGTACTTATAGTCATAGTGTATATGCCCCAAAAGGGCTCTGTGCTAACAATAACCCCTATAATAGTTTTTTTCAAGTAACCCTTGTAGAACTCAGGAATAATCGACGCAGCCTGCGGCCATGGCTTGGTGGGACGCTTGTCTCGCAGTAATTACTGCCGACAGAAGGATTGGGTTCTCGTGTCGAGGGATCCAATACGCATCGAATTTGTGGGAACACGAGGAATGCTGCTGTCACACTGCTTCCCCGACTCCGCTGTCTGTGCTGTGGACAGGGAGGCCTGACCTGTTTTGTCTTTGTGTGTACATAGAAATAAATAAATAAATATAAATATAAATATATATATATATACATACATACATACATACATACATATACACCCACCTACCCTATACCCTCAAACCTTCAATTGTTTCACCCATCCTCGCATCTCGCTGTATATACATATAAATGCATACATATAGAGAGAGAGAGAGAGAGAGAGAGAGAGAGGGGCCAACTGGCCCGGGGGGTTTAACAGACCCCTCAAGCCCTGGGGAAGAAGAGAGAGAGAG